TATGGAGTGTCTTGAGTGTTGATGCAGGCACACAGGCAGGATATGAAGAGCGCTGTCAGCCTGCGCTGGTCGTTTCATTGATTGAACTTGTCACGTCCTAAATGTCAGGAGGCTGTGCTGCAGAAGAACAGTGCACGTCTGTTATCATAGGCCTGCTTTATTGTTAGTTATTGTGAAGTGTCCGTCCTCTCCCTTAGAGTCAGGGTGAGGAGGTCACAGATCTACTGCTCCTCAAAAAGAACCAGCTGAGGTCTCCTGCTGGGTTAGAACGGCACAATGTGCCACACTTTTTGTTTTTCAGATGTTAATCTGTTATCTATCTGACTTTCTCAGGGTTAGACTAGTCGTTTGGTTAAAATTAGCTGCAAGGAACACCTACAACTAGGAGGAGGGAGGGTTCAGTACAGTTTCAGCCTCCACTCTGACTCCTGGGTCGATATCTGCTCAGCAAGTGTCACCATCAGGTAGCAATAACACACATGACTAATTCAGCACCATGCCTCCCCTGTAAGGACCTGCGGTCATGTGATCAGAGAGTCATGTGATCAAATATACAGCATGTGAACAAGTTAGACTTGAAGCGATGACATCATCATGTTTGCTCTCTGTTAGAAACCAGCAGCTCTCCTGGAAACACTGGGTTTGTATTATTACACGACTGAAGTGTCTGTTTCTGATCAGTGTGATATCTGTGACACCAAGATATCACTGATGTATCCCATAATATCCTGATGTGATGTTTCATTGTACTGAGCAGTCTTTCAGCTGAACATGTCAGTGGACTTTTTGCCCTGACTCGAGTCCACCAAAGTCCCAAAATATAAAAACACTTGTTTGTTTGATGACCTCACATGTTGTTGATCATTAAACGAAACATTTTTTAAAACGTGTCATTGGCTCAGAGGTCAGGATCAACAGGATGCAGCATCAACTGAAACTGTTTCTTAACCAATCAGGTGACGTTCCGTACGAGGATCTACCACTGCAACATCAACAGTCAGGGCGTGATCTGTCTGGACATCCTGAAGGACAACTGGAGTCCCGCCCTCACCATCTCCAAGGTCCTACTGTCCATCTGCTCCCTGCTCACTGACTGCAACCCAGGTGAGAGCTTCACACTCACAGAGACGCTGTCATGTAGCTGTGACAGGCTGACTGAGCTGCATAAGTCATGGACTTTACTGTGAGGCTGAAGCAGCAGCAGCATCCCAAGAGAACAGACAGGCAGTGTAGTGATGAAAACAATGATTGTGTGTGTAACACTGTCCATCACAAAAGTGTCTCTTTTATATAAATGTTGTTCTCTGGCTCCATCAGAGGTGTTTTTGTTTGTTTCAGATGTGCTCTGCTCTGCCTTCATGTTTCTGAGTCTGTCTGTGGGTCATTTTGAGCTGTAACTTCCTCTTGTCACAGGTATACCTGACTAATAAGAAGCTCCTTTCAGCTGCTCCGTATCAAAGTGTGAGCCTGGGATCCCAAACTCCCTTTAATCCGTTCAACATTTAACCAAGACTGTCTGGAAAAACTCAATCCTGGAAGCAGCTCACAGCAAAAAGGCCATTTGTGCCAGTCTGACCCCGATTACTGTAAAGACAACAGGGAGCTGCAGTTGGTGATGAACAGAATAAAGATTCTCAGTTTTTAAAATCATCTTTTTGTCTCAGGGCCAGAGGATGACTAGGGATGGGTATCATTTAGGTTTTATCCGATACCGGTGCCAAACCGGTACTTTTGAAACAGTGCCGGTGCTTAAAGAATGGAGAACACAAACTTTGTCCAAAAACCTCTCATGTTCAGCTGTTTTTTTGTAAAAAGATAACAATGTTAGCCTTTTCTGCAGCTATGGGGC